ATCCACAAACTGGTACCAGAGTGCCCCACGACTAGGAACAATAGAAAAGTAGGAAGCAATGTCTCAAACCACGATACTAGCTAGCTATCCAGCCGATACCCCCATGGATCTACATCGTCGACCCATAAACAATCTCATAGTGATATAAAGCACACCCAAGAAAGGGAACTTAAGAAAATTAAGGTTCGTTGTCTCGGAAAATGATACTAGTGTAATATATGGACGATGCCACCAAATATGCACATCCATCACCTACAAAGCGCCGCACACTGATACTAGGGTGATCCCTAGCTGGGAATATATGAAAATTCAGGAGAAGTATGTCGAACGATGATACTAGGGTGATATATGGCCGGTACCCCTAATTTTCCACATCCATTACCCAAAAATAGTCGTATACTGACATTAGGTGCCCTCCCTTCCCACCCCTCGGCTGGGAACATTAGAAAATTAGGGAGCATTGTCTTGGACCATGATACTAGAACGGTAGCTGACCGATACCCCCAACAATCCACGTCCATTACCCAAAAGAACCGCACACTAACACAAGGGCTCCCCTCAGGCTGTGAATATAAGAAAATTAGGGAGCAGGATCTCGAACCACACTTCTAGCTACATAGTCGGCCGATACTCCTAAGGATCCAAATCCATGACCCACAAACAGTTGCACACTGATACCAGCGCATCCCCAGGCAGGGAACATAAAAACAAAATTAAGGAGTTACTTGAAACATCCCAAAAGTCATTGCCAAAATTCATTTGTAAATTATTAAATAAACCATAGTTATCAAAATTGTTTCATCCAAAATCATAAGTCATCGCATGAAATGATAGTATCGTATCAAACACATGTCAACATATCAGAGTAAAACATCCCAAGCAAAACAAAATGGTATGTGTACTGATGTCATTTCGAGATCTTCCCCTTCCTACCGGAAGTACCTAAAACCAAAACTGAAAACCGTAAGGAGGAAGCTTAGTGAGTCTCCACAAACTACCACATACCATACACACAATCACATAAACTGGGCCCTCTCCCCATCTTTGGGCCCCGCCTAACATTAGACAGAGTCTGGCATTAGGCCCGCCTAGGATCAAGCCCCACTTGGTATACAAATCTAATTGTAGCAGGCCTCACCTGTCTCTGGGCCCCAACCACTATACAGATACAAACAATAACATATAATTATGCTATGACATAAAGATTCATGCACAATACTATATACTCTAGTCCTAAGGCCTCGCCTATCATGGGCCCCACCCCGACTCTGCTAATGATGAGATATGGAACCCCATCCACTCTCAACTAGTGATGAGATACGGGACCCCGCCTACCCTGACATCCTTACCAGACATATACAAATATAAAAAAGATAACAAGTATAACTAAACATGCATACTTTCATGGGGTACCACCCGACATCGAACTGTAGTTCGCAAACATTCATCTAAACATTACTCGGGCCCCGACTGACATCGGACCAAAATCTGGAAGCACACAAACATTCCTCGGGTTTTCCCCAGCATCATACCGAAGTCCGAAAACTTATAAAACAAGCACATGCAACAATCACGAATACATCAAGCATACAAACATTCGCTGGGCACCGCTCGACATCGGATTGGAATCCGAAAACATAATAACCTACATCGAACATTGTCCGACATCTAACCTTAGTCCGGAACATAATAACATACATAAACGGGCCGACATTGGTGCTTTCGTCCCGTTCCTACTTGAGAAACCTCACCTTGCAAAGCTGAATCTCACAGATAATCCCCTGGCTGCTAGCTAGTAGATCCCCTAACTGATGATCTCTCGAATCCCTGAGAAACCATTAGCAAAATAACACTTACTCCAAAAGTAATAATCCCCCTTTAGGTAAAATGACCATTTTACCACTAATCCAACTTTGTTCATACCTAGGGCGGAGAACCATAATATGAAAGGCCCAATACTAGGTAGACATCCCAAGCCAACTAGTGGCCCACTTGTAACAGCCGGGTTTCCAGGTATATTATTTTATTTAATTATTTTGAATTATGAGTAGGAACTCGGCGAGTTGATGCGTAGACTCGCCGAGTTGGGTCGTGATTGTTCATCCGGATTCGTTTGGACTCAGCGAGTCCATGAGTGGACTCGGCGAGTCCACGCTGTTTAATGAAACCCTAAATCCCCGGGTTTGGAGCCTCTTTAAGGGCACTTATAGCCTCTCATTGCAGCTACCAATCCCTTGAGAGAACCCTAAGTGAGCCAAATCATTGAAAGGAAGAAGAAGACACTTTTGATCCTTGTATCTTTGGTTTAGCAAGAAGGAGGTGCAAGAGCAAGAGGGGAGGTGCGATTCTAGCAGTTCCAGGGATTCAGAGACTTCATTATGAGGTAATGGTTCGAACCTCCTTCAGTTTTGGTGTTGATCTATAGAGTTAGGGTTTTCTAACCCCTTTGGAGAGTGATTATGTGGAGCAAATGGTCCCTCTTCGAGTTTGTGCCTTGTATCTAGACTCAAAGAGGTCCAAAGACCTTAACACTTGGAGCTTTATGGATTAGTTTGGGGTTATTGGACTTAGGTTGCCATTTTTGGGACTAAATCACCTTTTGATGCCTTGTTGTTATACAAGCATCAAGTTTCAAGCTTTATGTGACATTCATGCTTGGGAAGGCCAAATCTTTGATTTAGGGAAACCGATCTGACCTCAGGAGGCTAGTAGAGTTTGTGCATGGCATGAACTCGCCGAGTTGTTCCTGAGACTCGGCGAGTAGGGTTAGGGTTTCCAGTAAATTGCTCAGTGAGTAGACTTGCTGAGTTGGGGATGACTCAGTGAGTCAGAAGGGAGTTAGAGGACTGGAGTTCAAGGCGACACTCATCGAGTTGTTCTTGAGACTCGGCGAGTTGAGTCGTGGTGGCCCCGCAATTCATGCCTAGTATGACTTGTCAAGCATAGGGAGGGACTCGGCGTGCCAAGCGGGACAAAGTGTTAAAGAACATGTGTGAACTCGCCGAGTCACCAGAGTGCACTCGGTGAGTAGGGTCAAAGTGTGACTGTTGACTTTTAGGGTTTGGTCAATGGAGTACTTGTGTTGAGAGGGGGGGTAAAATAGCCTTTTTCCCACCCGAGGGTGCCAAAGGCAGGTTGAGTCTAGTCTTGAGAATTATATTTATAAGAGTATTTACTTTATGTGAATAGGCGAAGACTAGGCAATATTACTACCGAGTCAGAGATTTACCGAGACGCTTGAGGTGAGTCTTCTCACGATACTTTACCTAGTGTGGTAACAGAGTTATGAGATAGAGTATTTTAGAGTTATATGCCAGTGTAATTGCATGTTATTTATGTGTTATGATTTATTGAGATATGTTCTATGTATGATTCAGAGTTACAGAGTTAGGACCTTTGGGTCTACAGAGTAAGGACTTTCGGGTCCACAGATTTAGGGCCAGAGGGCCCATAGAGAGTTGGGGCTGGAGGTCCCCACTGAGACACATAGACCTGAGGGTGAACATAGTTTCTGCATCGAGTGGCTATTATGTGTTAGAGTGGTATTTTGGAGAACTCACTAAGCATTTATACTTACAGTGTTATGTGTTATGTGTTTCAGGTACCAGCGATGATCGCGGGAAGGCTCCGGCATGATCCGTACACACGCATACCGGAGTTTATATATATATATATATATATATATATATATATATATATATATATATATATATATATATATATATATATATACTAGGTTACAACCCGTGGAAATCACGTGTAAAAAAAGTAAAACAATATTGATAATTAAATACTATTAATAAATTAATGACCAATCAATTACAAAAAAAAAAAAAAAAAAAAAAAAGAAGTTTGACTGAAATTAAAAGATGGTAAATTAATTTATTTTTAAGCTAATTTATCCATAACAATAGTTAAAAATAACACTAATACATAAATTATATTTAATAATTATTTATAACGTTATAAATAGAAGTCTATTTATAATGCGCTTGTATATATTTATCTTATCATGTTGTTCAAAAATAATTACAATTAATATATATATATATATATATATTATATATATATATAATATATATATATATATATATATATATATATATATATATATATATATATATATATAACAATTACTATTTGATAGTTAAAATAAATGACAATCATTTTACCAATAAATATGTCAAATTTTCAAGTACATGATTTTAATTTGTACAACACCCCCGTCGTTCATCTAGTTTATATAAATTCCACTTATTTAACATGCTTAAAAACACTTAATAAACGAAACACCTCCAAAGGAGATGCATAGCATTCCAATCCTCTATATATCTATTTTTCATAACTCGAAAACTGGTAATATATAGCCAGATCATACATACTACTTACATAGATTAAGATAATATTAAAAATCTAATATTTAACATGCATTGTAAAAAACAATAAAAAGTGGCCAGTGAGCATGCGAAGCTCACTTGTAGAAAGCCTCCATGGTGGTTTTTAAGAGCTTCACATCGTCCCCAACTATTTCTGACACCTTCTTTCTTCCTTAAAACGAAGTGGAGAGTTGGTTGCACTTACAATATAAACACATGTGGATATGTGAGCACATATAACATTTATAGGGGCCAAAGTTGACATATTTATGTGTAGATGGGCATTATATTCAATACTGATTGTTCAAATGGGTAGATTGAAACCTTTAGTTAAAATGGCACGTGTTGAATGGTTTTAAAACCTCTTACATTGTTTTATTCAAAAAAATGTATCTTTATTACAACATTGTATTTTAAAAATATTCTCATTATAGCAATGAAAACATGAGTCATGACATTGCTATGATTGGGAAAGATTTTCAAAGTACAATGCGTTAATAGAAAAAAATAAAAGTAGAAAGCTATACTAAACATTTATATGAAATAATGTTACTATAGTTTGTATTTAACCCTTAAATTATAATAACATAGGTAAGCATAAAAAGTTTACCACAACAAAAATATTTAACTTTGCCAATGCATCCCCGTACCTTCGCGCAATTGAACATATACAAACATATAAAATAAAAATTCATAATTAAAAATCCTACCTTATGAAACCTTTTCTTTACTTATCTTTTATAAATACAAATTCATTAACATTGTCGGGCTTTTTCAATGATGGGAATAAGAAGGGCATTAACGTCTTTTGCATAAACTAAAAACCGAGATATATGAAATGAATGAAATACTTAGAAGTATGAAGGTGCGTTAACTTGATCAATATTAATCTTATAAGTGGTGACATTAGTGGATTACTCACTCAACTCCCTAATAAAAAGAGCTACAAACCTACGCGTGAAAGAAAAAAATATATACTTGACATTGAGTGTAAAACAAGATAAAATGAAGAGTACGTTTAAGAACTCAATTCCTATAGCAAACAACGATGCATTAGAGAAAATAATATATATATATATATATATATATATATATATATATATATATATATATATATATATATATATATATATATATATATTATATATATATATATATAGAGAGAGAGAGAGAGAGAGAGAGAAAAAATAAAATCCTTACGTGGCCCACACCAGACAACAGTGAAATAAAAGACCGTTGGGATAGATTCATCTGGTCACATTATAAAAACCATAAGTATAAACATTATACATATAACACATATAATCAGTATGTTACCTTGAATATTACAAAGTAAGGTATTAAATTCAGCTTCTGAATCAACTGTTACCACTCTAGATCCACCTACTATAATTATTCGTTTTAGTCAAAGAAATATTCTTCAAATTTTTTTATTGGAATCCTAAATGCTAAACTATAAAAGCAATTCTTAAATTTGCATGAAGTTATTATATCAACTAATGAACTTCAAAAGGTAGAAGAAACCTCTAAATGCATCTCATTTTAATCTCAAAGAATCAAACAAGACTTATAAAAACTCACTTTCTTATGATTTTAGATTAGAAAGTTGGACAGAAGTCAGGGATTCGATGTTTTGAGATAGGAATTTATTAGAATTCAGTAAAGCCTTTAGCAAATCGAGATTATGTGTTAAAGTTTTTAGGTTAATAAAGCATTTAACAATTAGAGCTCAAATATTCAGTTTTGAACAATTACTTTGATAATACCTGCAATGAAACTAATCATCAATTGTAGAATAAAATTAATTATATGTCTAATACTTTTAGATAATCAGAATTTTCAATCCATCTAAACCATTTAAAGTGATTATTACAACTTTCATAGCACTGTCAGCACAATGTTATAGTTATTCAATACCACAGTTACATAATCACTCTATAATAACTAATTTATTATGGCTTGTTATGGGATTATAACTATGCAATATCACAATCACCTCCAAAAGGTACATTCAAACACCCTTTATATGCCCACTCGATAGAAGCTAGTGATTCAGATTATATATGATGACCTTTGGGAAGACAACATTGATTAAAATTATTGTGTTGATAAGAATTACAATAACCCTAATCCCACTAAGTTAATCCGTTAAAACATCCATTATACAAAAAAGATGTGTTGTAAGTTGATAAATCATAAAATTAAGGATCATACCCAATGAGGGGAGGAATAGTGATTCAGATTGGAAGGCTGTTGTCCAGATTGAAATTTGGAGAAGAGAATTGACGATGATGGTTTCGTCACATAAGAGAAGGAATATGCTTCAGAACGGAACCAACCTTGGCATTAAAAGATTCTTGATGAACTCATCCTCCATTTCCACTCAAACTTCAAAGCCCATGTCTCATTATTTTTCAATCTTAACTGAGATGATGCACTAAAAACCCATGGAAAAAAGATGATCGAAAACAACGAAGTGAATAGGAACAACACTTTATTTGATCCTAAATGTATTAACAAAGATGGAAAGAAGGAGAAGAATATGATGATTAAAAGTATGGATTAGTTAGTGAGATGCAACGGTATATAGGTTGATGGTGGTGGTGAGAGCTTCAATTCTATCTGATACCGAAGGAAATATAAGAAAGTGGAAAATAAGCAAAAGGGGTTCGTGGTGTAATTATTGCCTAAAACGCATACCTTTCATGATGCTTCCAACTCCTTCAACCAATATAACACCAGAAAAAAACAAAATCAAATTCCGTCCGTGAAGAAACTCCATGAATGAAGTCGAACAACAAAAAAAAAAACCCTACAAATTAGTTGATTTAGCAATGGGAGTCAAAGTATAAAATGAAAAATACAAACCTGAACAATATCAAAGAATACCCTTGAAATTGGGCTTTACAACTGTTGGATTCTTCATCATCTAAGATGTATAATTCTTCATCATATAAGAAGAACCGTCGATCGATATAGAGGAAGAACCATCAACGCAATAGTGACGATCAAATTATATAAACTACGTTGATGTAGGGCTTCTTAAAAAGAGCTGGAAAGATAGAAGGTGATTGGTTCCCAAAAACAGAAGACAAAATTGGGGGAGAGATTATCGTTACTGATAGACGATTTGTAATTCAATTTGACAATGTAATTAGAAGTGATTGCTGGAAAACAAATGGGAAAAGGGCAAAATAGGTAATTAACTTTGTAAAAATATGGGCTGAGAGATGCCACGTGGATTAAAAGGATTGTTTTATTAGAATAAGGGATATATATATATATATATATTATTATATATATATAATATATATATATATATTATATATATATATATATATATATATATATATATATATAGATCTTGGGTTTTGTATTGATACAATGTTGATACAATGATTTGTTTATGGTTTCAAATGATATTTCATGGGTTTCAAAAGTGAAAAATTGTTCAAAATTTTTTTTACAGCGTTACAAGTTGGTATCAGAGCCTTGGTTTGAGAGACTCAGATATATCTTCGGGCGTATCTGAACTCAAACTGGGGATTTGAGGAAACTTTTAATAATAAAAATAAAAATAATATTTTAAAAAAAAAGAGTAAAAAGAGTTTTGAGACAAACAGAGCAGAGCCGTGTGTACGATCAACCAACGCCCGAACGGTGATTTCCCAAAATACCCTCCTAATAAGTGATTACCAGATATGTTATGTATGCTATATGATGAGTTACGATATGCATGCTAGAGTAGACTAGGTATTCTTATTAGGACTAGAGTGGCCTGATATATGATGCCTTAGTCTAGGGGTTTTGCTGCTAGAGATGCTTAAGAGTGATTTAGATAGCAGCGAGGCACTTATGAGTAGCACATGATAGAAAGAGTAGAGTACTTGGTGTAACATCCCGAAATACCAAGAGTAGAGTTGTAGGGCTAAAAGAGTAAATTGGGAAAGAGCGACTCGGCGAGTCCATGTGTGGACTCGGCGAGTAGAGTTGCGACTTGGTCGCGTGTTAAGTGGCCGACTCGGCGAGTCAGTGTATTGGACTCGGCGAGTAGGCGCTGAGTGGAGAAAACCTTAATTCTCGGGGTTGAGCCTTATATAATGATCATTATGTCTTCCTCCCAGCCTCTTTATCACCCCTTGAGCCCCAGAAAACCCTAAATCGCGGAGAAGCACCATTGTTGAGTGGATTGGAGCTTGGAGAAGTAATGGTTGAAGGAATTTTGGGAAGATTGAAGGCTTGGAGCAAGGGGCTTTGCTTGGATTCGAATTGCATTGCAGTTGGGGCATCACTTAGAGGTAATATCTCGTTTTTGGCCTGTTGTTATGTTGTTTCTTCATTTTGGGATTTGTGAGAAATTATCTATGGATGAAATGGGAAGTCTAGAGGTTAGATCTGAGGTTGCTACCTCAGATCTGGAAGGGAGAAGAATCAGAGAGCATGAAAGTCCCTGTGTTGGAGTGTTTAGTGAAGCTTGCATGTCCCAAACCCTAGCCCCAATGTGCAAACGGCTTAGATCTCTTTGGATTCACGTAAAGTTTGCCCTTTACGTGATGGATGAGTGGTAGGAGGCTAGATCTATGTCTTGGAGCAGTTGCATGGCCTGGAATGCTTCGGAATGTATTCAGATCGGCGGTACTCGGCGAGTCACATGGGTGGACTCGACGAGTTGGATGAAGATGGCCTGGAACTCGGCGAGTTGTATGAACAACTCGGCGAGTCTGTTCTTGGACTCGACGAGTCTTGTCGAAGAGTCCCAAATATTCTCTGGTTGAGTCGAGAATCGGTGAGTCGAGGGATGACTCGGTGAGTCGTGTGCGAGTGGACTCAGAGTTGTTGGACTCGGCGAGTCTCGGGGTGACTCGGCGAGTTAGGTCGCAGATTGAGTGAAGTTCTGATTATGGGAACTCGACGAGTCACAGGGTTGACTCGGCGAGTAGGGTCAGTCAGGGGTTGACTTAGACTGAGGACTTTGATTTCGACCAAGGGTTGGCCGTTGACTTTAGGGTTTGGTCAGCGATGTGGCCTTTGGCCAAGAGAGGGTAAAATAGTCTTTTACCCATAAGAGGGTGTTATGAGAGGATTTATTCTAGTCTCGAGAGTTATATTCATGAGAGTATTTGCCTTACGTGTTAGGCGGTGGCGAGTTCGAGATTCAAGTGTGGGATATCTGCTTTCTGCTTGCCAGGTGAGTCTTCTCACTATACTTTACCTTGAGTAGGTAACCAGAGTTATGTGATTAGAGTATTTGTATGCTATATGTACGTGATGTGTTGTACTGCATTATTTCTATGTGATTTATGCTGTGCATGTTTATAGAGTTGGAACCGGAAGGTTCCCAGAGTTAGAACCTGAGGGTTCACAGAGTTTGGGTGCACGGACCCATAGAGTTATAGCCTCGAGTGGCTAATATGTGTTATGTGTGGTATTTTGGGGAACTCACTAAGCTTCGTGCTTACAG